CCCCCCCCCCCCCCCCCCCCCTCGCTATGGGTCATGCCTAAGCAAAACCTTGCCGATTCAGCGAGGGGAAGAAGGCATCAACGATTACCACAGTCCGAAAACACGAGCACGCATGCATGTATAGGTCCAAACATATGACACATGCCCACGTGCAGCAGCAGCCAGCGGCAGCATCCCCCTTGCTTCTTTAAACGGCAATCTCATTAAAGTTGCGCGCGCTGCTGCCTGTTCTCGTTGCAGCTTCCCGGGGCGTGAAGACGCTCAATGAGCACTCAACACCAGTACTATTCCGGAAACAAAGTGGCTTTGATACTGATCTGTTTTGTGGGTCTTTGCTGTTGACTGGCGCCTGACTGGCGCCAGAACAAAGCGGGCACCAACACACACACTTCTTTTTTTTTTGCAAGACTGACGCCCAGTCATTGGTTAAGCAGGGGAACTCATCGGCGTGCGAACAATGATCCTGAACGGTTGTAGCTGGAGAAGAGGGCACCCGAACACCTGAACACCCACATGGCCAAGTTGTGTTCATTGCCATTGGCAATTTTTTCCCCGGAAGAGCTAACTGGGACGGATGTAGACCCCTATCATAGCATCGATTTGATGGAAGCAGGGGGTGTGATATCTTGCGTCGCATGCATTCGTATACTGTACGGTCCACACTCGATGAACTCCTTGTGTTGTACTGGGGAGTTACTTCACCGTCGTGTGGTGACAGCACCGACCTTCCGGAAGGTTCTCCCGCGTTCCTATCCCCTTCTACTGTGCATATATGGGGAGGAGAACAGTAATGGTGGGGGGGGATCTTCAAGTTGTTACTTCCATGTTTCGCAGTTTTTTTCTTGGAAAAAGAGAACGAGTTCAAATCTATTTTGTGATTTCGGGTCTGGTGGTGCCATGTTTTATTGTTGTTCTGAGCTCTTTGCTGTCCCTTTTCCCTGCTCACGCTCATGCCATGCGACGCTACGCCCACGCGTGCATGTTCTCGTCCCCGATACAAGGTGTGTAACACATTAACATCGATCCATGCATACTGTATCATAGAAAGCATGTGCGGCATACTTGTGGCAACCGGAAGACTTCCGTTTGTCACAAGTATGCCGCACAAGGCCAAGAGTGTTTTGTGCTTGTCCTTTTAGGAGAGGAGATGCAGGATATGAGCTGCTTTCGATACGCTGGTATCAAACAACATCAACACCACCAAAAAACAACGTCAAAAACAACATCGGTTTGTACTTTTGCACAGGAATTTGTGTCATGGGATGGTTGCCACATCTATTTCCCCTTGCACGGCGACGCTTGTCATTTTTCGTGTGTCTTTCTCTGTCATCCGGGGGGGGGAGGCAGGCGGTACGAGTCGTCCTTGGCGGATACGGCGGAACCCCTAGCGGAGACCCGAAGGAGCGGCTGAGGGCGACCGAGTGGCTTCACAGCTTCCAGAGGAGAGACGACGCCTGGAGCGCATGCGTGGCAGGTGGGCGGGTGGTAACGAAACGGAAGCCGCCGAATTCTTCGTGGGACGGGAAGGGGCGAAAGGGAAAGGATAGATTTCTTAATTTTTCTTTTGTTTCCTTTCCGCTACGGTGGGAAACAGGTGAGTGGTACAGTTTCGTGGGACGGGAAAACGCCGCACACGCGTAGCAGTAGTCAGTGGGGAAGGAAGGGAAGGAAAAATAACGTCTTGCTCTCTTCCTTGTATGGTAGTACGCCATGTATAGCAGACAGACATTTACGCATGTCGTAATTGTGTTGTCACTGCTGACGACTTGTTTTTCCCTCCCGTTGTGTATATACCTATCCTACGCGTTGATTACGTTTTTTGCTGCCAGCAAGCTTTGTTCGCGCAGGCCGTGTCGTTTGAACGAAACGCACAAGCAACACGCTTTTGCACGTGCCCTGCACCCGGAGATTTGAACCGTGTTGTCCAATATCCTTCGCGCACCCCCCCCGGTAGTGGCTCCGGTGAAACTAAACAGAGAGCTTGTAGCGCTTTCTTGTTTCCCGCTGTACGATAGCAACAACAACAACAACAACAACAACAACAACAACAACAACAACAACAACAACAACAACAACAACAACAACAACAACAACAACAACAACAACAACAACAACAACAACAACAACAACAACAACAACAACAACAACAACAACAACAACAACAACAACAACAACAACAACAACAACAACAACAACAACAACAATAACAAGGCGCGCCGCAACTAGAGCGTGTCACATTTGTTTTTCCCGCTGGCCCGCAGAAACGAAAGAGCTTGGCTTGTCGCGTTCTTTTTTTTTTTACCGCTGTAAGACAACAACATCTACAACCGCCGCCATCACCACCGACAGCAACAGCAACAAAGCCTGCTGAAACTAGAGAACGTGTCTTATTAGTTTTTTTTTGTTTCCCGCTGTAAGACAACGGCACAATCCCAAGCAGCAGCAACAACAACAATAACAAAGCCTGCTGACTCCAGAGAGCATGTCTAGTTTTCTTTTGCTTCCCGCTGTAGGACAACGACAACAAAAACAACAACAACGGTTTCAACACGATGCAGTCCTCGGAGCGCCGAGGGGGGTGGCGGACAACCAGGTCGGCCTGAACGAACAGATTTTTGCGAGCCAGGCGCTGCTGTACAAGTGCCGACGTCGCAAGGCGGCCATCTCCGGAGATGACGTCGGATGCCTCCTGCAGCTGGCGCTACAGTTTACCGGCCGGGGGCTACGAGCTGTGCTAGTTCAGGTGCGTGCTACGGGGGGGGTACGATGGTGGTCTTGTTGCCGTAGGGGAGTGTTGCTTTGGTCGGCGTTGACGTTGACTCCTTAGTAAACGCGGCGTTGTCTTTGCCAAAATAATGTGTCAAACTCTACGCAGTATTCCTTTGCCGCCGGAATACCCCCCCCCCCCCCCCCCC